GACCTGCTGCTGCTGTACAGAGCTATACAGGTGTGTTAGAATCATGGCAGCAAATCAGCAAAAACGCAAAGAACTTTTCACAGTTTTCTCCTCAAACTAACAGACTGTTGAATAATGCTGTTGGATGAAGGTAAAGTTAGCTAAAAGATGACTAGCTAGCTAATATCAATACAGCACCTTAAGCTTGTTAACAAGTAGCTTGTAGGCTACTGGTGTTGTTGTCTATGTTCAGCTATGATTCCTCCCCCTGGAGCCAGGGCTGAGTATAACAGGGAGTCTCTAAGAATCCATCCCCCACCCCCTTCACTCACTCATATCGTTCAACCAGACAGCTATTTGTAAGCCATAGTGGGGGCCCAGAAATAGTTTGGAAACCACTGGGGGGGAGAGGGGAGCAGGAGAAAAAGTTTGGGAACCACTGGCTTAGGGAGGCCTTAGAATTGCAAGAACCAATAGGATCCATTTTTTTCCCAGTCAACCTTGGTGACAGGAAACTGTCGTGCTGGGGCTGTGCTCTATATATTCATCTACATATCAAATATATATATATATATATATATATATATATATATATATATATATATATATATATATATATATCAATAATATGTAATATAATATATATTATATTATAATATATATTATGATCAACAGTTATGTCTCTGCCAATAAACCGGTCAATTTGATCGGGTTCCACCATTTCCACAGAAAAAGTGGATAAATAGCCAGAGTTATGCCAGAAACTTATGGGTCACACAAAAAGTGTTGCTTCAAAGCAACTTTTTAAAACATGTTTAAGAAAATGTCATTATGGATGGGATGCATGGAAATTTAGATTATAGAAAATTCACAATGCATTTAAACTTGTACACCTGAGTTTTACTGTCCAAATGTAATAAATATAAAAATTGGTTTATATGTATTATAAAAGTCCCAAATTAACTAAGTATTTTGGGACATTCAAACTGAATGAATGAGCAGAGAGTCCGAGCAGAGACTACGTCTGAGCGCGAGGAGAAGTTTTGAGTACAAGCATTACGAGTTTTGAGAAGAAAGATATGAAGTCCTGCTTTCAAAATAAAAATGTAAGCAAAAATATTAAAAGTTTTGAGAATAAAAGACATGAAATCCTGTTTTCAAATATGTGCTCTTGGACCATAACAGAAACATTCCTCCAAGTAGACCAGCATACAGTCCTTGTTTCTTAGCTGTTCTATCACATAGAAAGTACTTCCACCTGGTCAGCTGGGTTTTAAAATGCACATTTCAAAGTCAGGCTCAGACAGACATACCTGCCAAGCCACAGGTGTGTGTACACTCCGACCATGGTGACCATTCAGACAGCTGGCAGTTGACAGGACATTCCACCACACAGGAAGCATTCATCTGCCACTTCCGTTCTAGACCCAACTGCAATGAAATATTACTGGGTTTCATCAACACTTAAAAGTGATAAAAGCAAATGGTCTGAAGATAAAGTTTGGCTGCTTATATCTCACCTCTTTACAAAAACTGAGGTCTACAGATTTTCCATCACTACGCACACAGTCAAGCATGCGGGTTTTGAGGCCATATCCACAAACCGCTCTGTCACTGAGCTGACAGGTGCTCCAGTCTGAGAGGACACATGGGATTAGTAAAATATTAGTGTAATCCTGATCAGAGTTGACCGGGCTGTTCATCCATCTCACCTGTGATGTTGTATGAGTAGTGAAAGCAGTTGCTGTTTATTTTACACGGTTCAGCTTCTTTAGTCGGAGGACATTTCTTCTCCTTTCCTGGCTTCCGGAGTGGGAAAGCAACCCTGACCCGTGTACTGTTCTCACTGCAGGGCTACAGGCAGAGAAAAGAATCCTGGATGATAAATACATGATTGCACATCTGCACAGAACTTCCCATCTTCTGTCATGAAGGCAACTTTTCACTGAACCCCACTGAATGAGGAATTCACAGTTCTTTTATATTTTTTGTGGTCATTACTGATTACTTGATTTGGAAAGTAACTAAGTTACATTAAAAGTAACTTTTTTAGTTTATTTCAGCCACCTGTGAAAATATTGATCTTTGCCAATACTTAATTCCAAGTTATTTTATAACGGTAACATCAACAATGTGTCTCCACTTATAAGGTTGAACTGAAGGGGAGATTGTTTAATGGTTACAACAGTACAAATAACGTTAGTAATTTGTGTGTGTTTTTGTGTTCTCCACTATTGTCTGGAAAACTATAAATAGGATTTTACCCCCCTCCCTCCCAGCCTCCAGATTGTGCGTTATGACCCTGCGTTTGCTGTCACAGCGCAGCATACAGAGTTCCTCCTGCGGCTCCACAACTCAGATGTCCCACTGCACAGATTTGTGACACTTGTCAGTGTCTGACATCACTAATCAGGAACAAGCTGAAACACTATAGAGACATAGACCTACAGGTTATAGAAAAGATCCTCCACTTTACAAGGTTTTCCTTTTAGCTGACTTGCAAAAGAAAATTAACATACCTGTCTAATTACAAAAATGTAAAAAAATGAGAGCTTGATCAATGACTACTCTCTCTAACTGGCCATGCTTAACGTAAAGAATGAGAGAGCTGTAAGAGTAAATCTAAAGTCATTCCTACCAGAGGACATGCACTCCAGGCTCCCCAGTCTGATAGCACACAGTCCTCAGGACAGGGCAGGCGGCTGTTCCGGGCTCCCAGAGGCATCTCTTCTGGGTCACAGAGGTAATCCTCGACCTGCTCTGATGGGCCATCTATTGTGTTGAGCATACACCTGTTCACAGGAAGATCAAAACAACACACAATGAGTTACTACAAAATCAAAGCATCAGAAGCAGGGCTTACTGTTTTCTTCAATAAATCTACATGACTCTCAACAAAATTAGAATGACTTTACTCTGCAAACACATTAATGCTAAATATATCCTGACAGGTTTGTCACTAATTTTAGTGACAAACCAATCTGATAAAGCAAAAACAAATTCTTAAAAACATTGTCTTCTGTGTGTGACACAACTTGGATCATCTCACCTGATCTTTCGGGTCTGCACACCTTCACCACAGTTACTCTTCACGTCCACACTGCTGACCTTCCATACACTCCAAGGTTCTGTCACCCAAACATACTGTCCACAGTCACTGACGCAGGGCACCACCTCATATACCTGAGACACACACACCACAGTTACCAGGCTGAAACTTTAATAAATTCTGAGTAGAAACAAGTGAACCAAGATATACTGCAAAAACGATCACATCATCCTTTTGGCATCAGCTAAATGTAAAATGAACTTTTCTGAAATAATGGCATAATGTCTTTCCAAAAAGTCAAAATTAATCAAAACGTTTAAAATGTACTCACTTGAGCCTTTAGATGAAATCCATTTGGCACAGGAAAAAAGACAAAATGTGTTAATGAGATCATTGTTCTAAAGCAACTAAATTTTACATTTTAATGAAATATGACAATATGCATTGGTTTCATTTGTGGATATTGTATTATTTTGTATTTGTTGCTTTTTCCTGTCATCTCCTGTCATTATAGTTCAAAAGTAATTGTGCTTTTAAATTTTTGAATTACATATTTCACTATTGTTCACTGGCTAAAATCTCCTTATGAACTATTTCTTTACAAATAAATCAAGTATAAATAAAACCCCACAGTTCACCTGGTTCACATGGTCCAGTTTGGGACATGGTCTTCCACCATTGTATGGCTTTTCTCTGAGCCACTTAGAGCGAACTTTGACCCCACTGCCACATGACTTGCTACAGCGTGACCAGTTGGACCATTCACTTAATTTGCAGTCAGATGGACAGGGGATGATACAAGCCTCCTCAATATACCCTGCAATCAGTCACATAACATGTTAGGCAGCCTCTGTCCTCTGCAGAAAGCATATTATACTGCGTTCTGCAGAGAAATCATTTGATATACACCAAATGAGCTTTCTGTTTAATATCTGCAGCATACTTTGTTTTTGTTGTAGAAGTTTATCCATAAAAAACCCACCATGACTGTTGCAGCGAGACGTTTCCACTATGCGATTGTCCTGGTCATAGCACACCATGGCTTGGTAGCGGTATCCTTGGCCACACTCCTTCATGTCTCCCTGCACCCTCACACCAGGCTGGCTCTCCATGCGACTGCCCTCTGGGAGAATACAGTCTGACCAGTTGCCCACAGGCTGGGCGTTGTATTTATTACATGGACAGTACTGGGTCTCACTTAGAGGATACATCTGGTTGTTTTTGCACTGATCACGCTTTTTGCTTTTTCCTAAAAATAATAAGAAAAATAGGAATGGCTAGGTTTAAAAAAAGCTGTGTTCTCTTGATTACTTTGACAAAAAAAAAACTCAACTGAAACCAGATGTTGACATACCCTGAATAAAAAATTATTATGCAAAATCTTATTTTTTTCCTACTATCTGATATTAAATCAGACTAAACCTTTTCTGTTTTAATTCAAAACCACAATAATTTAGCTTTAATAAACAGAAAATAATGATACGCCGGAGTAGAGACCTAAGTGAACCTCCGAGCGCTTGAGGAGGTAGTGGTAGAGAACGGCTGGCCGAAATTAGCGTTCATAAATCAGATTAACATTGAGCTAAAAGCTGCCAACACCGTGGAGCTCCAATATTCAACTTGAAGCTAAATTCACTGTGGTATCAACACATGCGCGATCTGATCTCCAAATTATGCCCCTCCTCTTCTGTGACAACTCTCACAAATACAAAAAATTGAGTCCCCCTCACACATACAAAACTGAGTCCCACATACAATTTTTTTTTTATATTTTATTAGTT